CATAAAAAGTTCTAAAAGTATTAACAACATAGTTTCTACGAGAAATGAACGTATAAAAATATATTTAAATAAAGCTGATTCTATTGCGGCTACCCTAACCTGCTTGTTTAAATTAATCATAACTCATGAACCATAAGAGATAGAAATGTTATGTCTTTGGCAAAGTTGCTTCAAATAGATTGTTATACAACTTTTTAAAAAAAGCTGCATTGGTCTATCTCAAATAACTAAAAAGTTTGTAATATAAAATCACCAATTTTATGGACCACCCTAATTTCAATAACATAAAAAATTGGCCAAAAATACGAAGAATCTTTTCCCAAGACATCATATACCTTAAAGTGGTGGTTTGGGCGTAAATATTGCTGTCTTCCTAAATACGACTGTGCACTGGTCCCCAGGGTAAATTTTTTGGTCATAACACCAAATTCATTCTGATAAGATGCCAATGAGTGGTTTTGAAAAAAGTGGACCTCCAAGCTCAGTTTATGGGATGATTTGGATCCTCTGGACAAATCTGAAAATAAGATGTCAATTAATGGTTTTGAAAAAAAAAAAAAATACGTGTCAGTGTGAATGAATTAACTATTTTTACGGATCGGATCTTCTGGTGAACCATCCTCTGGTCACCAGGGTCTATATTCTGGGCGCAACTCTTAATTCATTCTGATAAGACTTCTATGACAGGTTTTGAAAAAAAAAACCGTGGAGCTCTAGGATCAGTTTCATTAATTGACCACTTTTACGGAAGTTTCGGATCTTCCGCTGGACCATACTGTAGTCCCCAGAGAACAAATTCCAGTCAAAACTCCAAATTCATTGTAATAAAACGCTGTCCAGACTGGAGAGTTATAACATGTTATAACGGTTGTCAACTAATTGCAACACAGAAACCACCATCAAGATAGCACTATAACATGTTATAACTCTGTAGTCTGAACGTACTATAAGACGTCGTTGAACGGTTTCTAAAAAACCGCGGAGCTCTAGGATCAGTTTCATGAATTGACCACTTTTACGGAATTTCCGGATCTTCCGGTGAACCATCCCATGGTCCCCAGGGTTGATTTTCCGGTCACTACTACGAATTAATTCTGATGAGACGTCTATGGGTGGTTTAGAAAAAAAAACCACATAACTACAGGATCAGTTGCATGAATTTGCCACTTGTACGGATGTTACGCATCTTATAGTGGACCATCTCGTAGTCCCTAGCGTCCATATTCCGGTCACAACTCTGAAATCATTCTGACAAAGTGGTTCCGTGGTTTCGAAAAATTCGCGGAGCTCGAGGACAGGGTTACTTCCACTTACTTGCTATAAAAAAATGTTTTTCGGAATTATGAAATCATGAAATAGTATAATGCTAATAAATACTTGCAAGTTACAAGAAGAGGTCATGAAGTATATGTTTGACACATAAAATCTGTCAATATTGCTTTCAGTGCGTCAAAATCAGCGATTTTACGACTCGTGAGCGCTCACTCTGAGTGACTGGTTTTATGAGTCAAACACATACTTTACACCCTCTTCTTGTTACTTACTAGTACAAAATATCATTATAACATCTAATGATTGCATAATTCCGAAAAATATTTTTTTATAGCAGGTGAGTGGAAGCAACCCTGCTTGAGGATCATTTTCATGAATTGACTACTTATACGGATGTTCCGGATCCTCCGGTGGACCATCCCTTAGTCTCCAGAAACCATATTCCGAACACAACTCCGAATTCATTCTGATGAGATGTCTATAAATGGCTTCTAAAAAACCACGGAGCTCTGGGATCAGCTTCATGAATTGACCACTTTTACAGATATTCCGGTTTTTCCACAGGACCAGACTTGTGTCCTACTGGAAACTGACTGTTTCTTAAAGGTGGCCAACTATCTGCTTAACAGCTTCTTCACAGACATCAGGAAGTCTCTTCAAATTGCCGTACAATCAGTGTTTGGTCCCAATTAATTATATAATGATGATTTTGTACACATAATCCTTCAGAAGGCGCTGCTAGGCACAGTAGTGACATCTGTTGCGAATGAACCACACCATAAATAAAGCAACAGATGGCGTTACTGAGCATAACGAGAAGTATCGTAGTGGATGAGGGTTGGATCTTATTTGAATTATAATGTTAAATCCTCTAAAACATCATTCTTGCTAGGCAAATGCTTGCTTGGTATATAAAAACATTTCATATGAGCGATTCAAATTTTAAATTTGTACAGAAAGCATTGTTCATCCTGTTTTCAGATACATTTTCATCTTTATTTTTAATCATACTATCCGGCAATCAGACCCTTACCATTGACTGTGATTGTTTACATTACGCATCAAAACATTCGGTGTTCGATCAATAAAAACAAAAACAATTGGTTGATTGAGCAAGTTCATTCGATTACTTTTATCATGCCTACGAGTTGTTGTGCTTTCGGATGCAAAAGTGTTAGCCTTAAATCATCAAGTGTTTCGTTTCATCGCTTTCCATCTCCTGATTATCGTTTAAGGAAGTGGTTGTGGGCGCTGCGAATAGGAGGAAAATTTAAATACCGATCAGATCGTGTGTGCTCACTGCATTTCTCGGATTGGCAATATTTGAAAGGTAACACAAATACAATTAATTTTATATTTATTTATCTACTAACTATCTGTTTGTAGATGGGAGATTGCAGCCACTAGCTGTTCTGGATTTCAATCTTCCGCTTCAGAAGAAAATCAAAAATGAATCAAAGGTAAGTGAATTGTCATGTTATATATTTCACTTCAGTTTATTGTATTCGTGTTAAAGGACTTTTCACTAGTGTCTATATCACCATTCGTCGAAACGAACGATAAGGAGGAAGTTGATCCACTTGGTGAATCCATACTGGATAGTATTATCAACGATGTGCCATGTAGTTCCAACTATCCTGAAAGTGTGAACCTCTTCAACGGTCGAACATATGAAGGTAAATACAATTACACACTAACCAGAATACGCTCACGCAAACCATCAAGGGACTGTCCATTAACTACGTAGACAGTTTTTTGTATAATTGACCCCCCCCCCTCCCCCTGTGTAGACAATCGTCCATACAAAAAAAAAATAAAATTTGTATGGGTCGTGGATAATTGTCAACCCCCACTCCCCTAAAATGGCTACGTAGTTTATGAACAGCCCCCAAGATAATCTGGTAGGGGAAGTTCTCCCCTTTTTGATAGTGGTATTGGTTTGCGTGGGCGTACTTCGGTTTGCGTGAAAAGGGTCTTACAATTTTTTGTTATAAAAGATTTTGTGCCGTTTTCAAATTTTACGCCTCATTTATTAGCAGTCTGAACAATAGCTCAACAGAACTTACTAACCATTTTCAGCCCACTCCCCAAGAAGTCCAAGGAGCAATCCAACAGCTACTGACCGCGTTCCTATAGTCATTTCGGAAAACGAAGATATTGCTGGAAAATGTGAGGTAGAAGATGACGGCAGAGAAGCAAGGTACGTTTTTTTTTGACGATTATGCTATAATAAATGTTATAAACCTTCTATTTAATGTAACTAGTTAAATTCTCGCGTTAAATTTGAAAAGAGCCGATTATCTATTGTAAATAAAACTTACGCGTTTTTTGCGAAGGTGAACTTCGATTCTAACGAAAAGGGCATTTTAAGTGTTGTTTATAAAAGCTATCACAATTGGTACGCGATAATTATAATTTATGCAGTTATATTATTTAAGGTATTTCATGTAAGTAAAGGGCAAACACGAAATTATTGCGACACATTCAACAGGGCATAACTTTTTTACCATTGGGTAAAAATCAACCAAATTTTGCACACTTTTTCATTGATGTGTATTGTGTACATGCTGTCAAACTCGAAGTCGATTATTGTTTTTCGATTCAACGAAAATGGAGGTGAACCAACGCGAGTTGAGAGAACAAATTCTTTTCAAACACCTGGAATTTCCTGACCTGTCGCACCGGCAGTTGGGGAAAATGTTGAACATTCACCATTCAACCGTCTCCAGAGTGTTGAAGCGGATCCAGGAGCGGTTGACGTTGGACCACGGCAAAGGAGCTGGAAGAAAACCGGGACCGGAGAACAAGAAGACGGAGGGAAAGGTGAAGCGGATGATTAAAGCAAATCCCAACGTCTCAAGCCGTGATTTGGCTAAAAAGATCGGCATGTCGCAGAGCTACGTCCAGAATGCAAAGAAGAGAGCTGGACTACATACATACAAGGTACAGAACTTCCCAAACCGCGATGAGCGGCAACAATCGACGGCTAAAACTCGGGCACGGAAGCTCTACGAGAAGATGCTGCCAAATATCTCATTTGGCAGGCCATCTGCTCTTGCGGACTGAGGAGTGAGCCTTTCGTGACAAAGGGAACAGTAAATGGCGAGATCTACAAATCTGAGTGCCTCGAGAAGCGCCTTTTGCCGTTCTTGCAGCAGCACGACGAAGCTCCGCTATTTTGGCCAGATTTGGCATCATGCCACTATTCTAAAAGTGTTCTGGAGTGGTATGAGGCCAGCTCTGTCCATTTTGTTCCAAAGGACATGAATCCGGCAAACTGTCCGGAGCTGCGCCCGGTGGAGCAGTACTGGGCAATAATGAAGCGGGAACTTCGGAAGAGCAAGAAGACAGTCAAAGACGAGAAGGACATGTTAAGAAAATGGAAAAAACTGAGAAACTGGTACCGGATGACACTGTAAAGGCTTTGATGGAGGGCATCAAGCGAAAATGCGTTCAATTTTACACTCAAGGCTCCATCGATTAACTTTTCTTTTGATTTTTGAAGTAAATATATGTATAAAACTACCCTAAAATTTTGGTTTGATTCTAAACATTATAAGAAAATTGGCATGACATTTTCGGTGTCGCAATAATTTCGTGTTCGCCCTTTATGCTTATTTATTTACATAATTTCTTACAGAGACACCCAAGAATCAACGGATGTACATTTGGAGTCTACTGAAGAACGTGAATCTTGCCTTAAGTTGATAAATTTGGCCACTGGAAAAATGGAAAGCCTGTCGGATGACGACGTGAAATATCTCACGGGTCATTTTATTTCGGAATTCAATGCTATTTTTTGTTTTACCGTTAAGAATCAATTGGACGCGGATTGGCCATTCCAAAATCTACCACTAAAGGCACAGCTATTACTTACGCTCATTAAATATAGATTAAATTTTGATTTTAGTTTTCTTGGCATCATGTTCAAAATTCATTACAGTAGCGTTTCAAAAATATTCAAGTATTGGACAATATTATTGAGTGTCAAATTTAATAAGGTCGATTTTGGGGGGATGAGAGTAAGTGAGGAAAATTTGTACACGGTTATATTAGACTGTACAGAAATACCAATACAAAAGCCTACGTCGCCGGAAGAGCAACAGGCGACATGGTCCAGCTATAAAAACTGCAATACTTTTAAATCTCTAATCGGAATTGATGAGGCCGGAACTGTTACATTTGTTTCTACACTCTACGGAGGAGCAGCTTCCGATAACGTTATTGTGGCCAAATCAGGAATAATACAGAAAATGAAAGAAGGAGATTGTATACTGGCTGACAGAGGATTTGATGCTACGGATTTGCTAGCTGAAAAGGGTGTTATTTTAAATAAACCGCCGAGAAAAAATGGGAGTCAGATGAAAGAAAACGAGGTGGCGCAAACCAGAGCTATTGCAAAAAGAAGAATTAATGTTGAACGAGTTATTGGTTTAGTTAAGAGAAATAGAATTTTAGCTCAAAAAGTTCCTCAAAGTCTTTTTGAGCTTATGCCGCGGATTTTCAAGTTGTTATTTTGGTTAGTTAATATTAAAAAATCTATTTGTAAATCAGTTGATGGAAATTGTAAGTGTTGTGTGTGAGCAAAATAAAAACAAATATCGTGAAGTCATCGAAAACGAATTAATGCACATGTATATTACTATGACACGTAAAATACTTGAACAATTAACCCATGGCCCCACAAAGCCTGACGGTCATCATGGAACGCCATCAAAGAACAAAATCTAACACTTTTATATTTAACAAGTGTGTTGATAGGTTTAGATGGTTTCTCGTATTTTTTTCGTACATTTGATTTTTTAGTTTTTTTTTATTTTAAGTGTTTTCGTTGTAGCGATATTTAAACTTTATCTAACAAGTTGAAAGTTTGACAACTAAATAAAATTTTATCTATTATTAACCATCTCTTACTTAGAAAAACCGAACTCGGTACAATATTCCTTACAAAATACATGCGTGTAAAAATCACGTAGCTCAGGCAACATTGCATCAACAATTTTTTTATCGTATTCAATTAGTTGACAATGAATACCTTTTAGCGTATATACTATAAAATGGCAAATCTTTGCTCTTACTGAAATTGTATTTGATAGTAGTATTCATGCGGTCGATTTTCTTTATCCAAATATTTCACTCTAGTTGGTACGTCGAACCTAAGGACATTTAATTTCTAAAATTTCTTCTCCACAACAACAAATACCATCTGGTGATGCCGCTAGGTAGTTACTGGTTATATCAACGTGGATTCCACTTTTCCGAAAGGTGTTGTCACCTTTATACATTTGAACAAATTCCTCAAAAGCCATACTTTCATGAGACTGGCCCCAGGCAATTTGAGGAACCTTAGACAAATCTTTCTTATAGAAATTGAATCTGCATGGAGCTGTATTACACGGAATATTTTTGGCTTTACTACTTTTTACTGCAGTTAGTATGCTTTTAATTTTAGATGCCGTTATCCTAGATTTCCTTACTTCAAACCATAAATTTGAAGAGCTTTGTTTTCTTGTGTTTAGTTCAATATCAATTGCCTTTGAAGGCGCAATATTATTAATTGTCTCCATAGTCATTTCGTATATGGACTTTTCAGCATAATCGTGGTCATTCGCTAACCCAATCATATTAACGACCCTGTTGGTGTTCATAGTGCTGCTCAACCCAGCATTTAAAGTTATATTTATGAGTTCATCAGTTGTTTGCTTGCATAGAGCGTTATCTTCAAGAGCAGGCACAGCACAGTTGATTCTCAATGTTTTCTGCTTTCTTTTTGACATAATATTTTCGATGGATTCATTTATAAGATCCTTTGGGGCGTTTTTCGGAGGTTTGTGCCAAGCCTGCAGAGCGTTCGTACATCCTGGGTTTTGAATGACTTGTCCTAAGAGTAAAAACATGTTATCAATTAAATTTAGACACTAAAACAAACAATTGTGAAAAGTTTCATGCAAACAATAGAAGGTCGAGTTTGAATGTTTTTGTTGCTTTTGACCTGGAACATTAATATTAACATTTTCATATCATAAATGGATAACCTTTATTAGAAAATCTCTTTAATAACGGCAAACAAACCAAACCTGTAGTTACAAATTCTTCCACACAACAAAGCAGCACTGCAAAGGAATTTCCTGCGCCTGCCACACATTCACAATTTGATTTTGTTATCTGTTGTCTCTTGCTGCATATCTCAAACTTTACTTGATAAAGCTGTGTTTTTTTCATGGTCGCGCTACAATAAGCACGTGCCTGGAAAACATCATCTGCAATCGGAAATCCATACGTATATAAAATCAATACTAAAACATTCAACATAATTATGTCTACCAGAGGATAAACAAAATAATTAAGCAGAAATTACAGTTGAATTCATGTTCTGAAATATCCTTTCTAATGTTTAAACATAGTTTCTGGTATTACAGGTGTTTATCTTCTTTATTTATTTATTTATTTGTCAACATCGACAGGCTCAATGAAGCCCAATGATTATTCAACTTACCTGAGCAAAACATACATTTTTTAGAAAATTATCTTTCAGCAGCTCTCTTCCATGTTTGTATCCAGCTAGTGCTTGTCGAATTTCAAAATAATTGTATACTATTGTAGCTACAAACCATTGTGCATCAATCCTGGTCATCTCATGTAGTAATTTATAAGGCGGTAGATCTTCAAAATTCGTTAGATCAAGTGCTGGTATGAGCTTAACGGGTGAAATCAAGGTGGTGTTCAGATTCTTGTCTCTATAAAGCTCTATCCTGTTAAAATATGAAAAAAAATATAATCCAACAGTATATCATCAATCGTTTGCGCTGCAAAGGATAGCGAAAATTAGTTATATAATAGTAACTATTATCCTATATTAAAACTAGTGCTAGGCCAAAAATTAGTACACTTACCGTATAAAAACTAACTAGTTTTCGTTGCGGGAAAAGTACATTGAGAAAAGCTAGTATACGCTAGAATAAAGGTCTCCGATAACAGCGCATGTACAGTAAAGAAACAAGTTGCTTAGTCGGTGGAATCACATTCTAACTTGTGATAAAATCGTATTTTTAGAAGAAGCTTTCCTATGGCAATAAGTGATGCATAGATAATAGTGTGGGACGTTCACGTTTGCGTTGAATCGTTTTGGTTTCATCGGCACACTTATTGTTGCTTCATAAAAAGTTTAATGCAAACACCAAGACGTAAGATGCAAACTCGCACTTCTACAAATAACAAACGAACTTGTTTTCCAGTTTGATGGGAAATGTGTATTATCACATCAAATTTGGTTGATTTAATGACCAATTATCGCTATCCCGGGACTAAGTGATTTTCCTACGCAGCACTACTATACGTCCTGTCTTACCTTCTTTCCAATTCCGCTTTGGTCCCTTTTGTTGGAATTCTCAGTATGTACAAGCTTCTTTCCGTAATGCTGCCGCTGTTTTCTTGGCACTTGTAGTTTTCAAAGCTGGCATCTACAAAATGATTCATGTTTTGTTAGCTAATACAAACTATAGCAACACATTTAAAGGTTACCTGTGGAACCGGCAGGTTGGATGGATTCCCGGGGTTTTTATCATAAACGGTCAGTTTTCGTTTTCGAAGTCCAACCATCGTGTAATAAAATAGAATTCTGCTATCTAATTTCCTGATTATTATTTAATTTTATTGAGGAGGAAAAACAGCAGCGAGCCAAACCAAAATGAAACTGACGCAAAGCTGACGGATGACAGGTATTTTTGACAGTTCTGACTACAGAGAAAGACAGAGAAAGAGGACTTGAACCTTCTCTCGCGCTCAATTTGTGCTGGTAGGAAAAGTAAAGTTCATTATGTATGGGAAAGATCAGTTTTAATTAATTATGTTCACATAGTTTCAATATTACGAAATTCTATCTCATCGCATAGAAGCGGAAAATCAAGCTCTATGTTCTCGGTGATTTTTTTCCATGATAATCTTGACAAAAAGTAAATCAAAATCGTTTTTTTATTTTCTCTCATACTGATTCCTGAAGTTTCCTACCAGCAGATTAGCGCCATCTGTTAGAAAATGAGCGGCAATCGTATAATTAATTAGCTCTAATCCCAAATGCTACGTGTATTCGTTAATGCCGGTTCCTATTGTGCGGTTCCTATTAACCGTACTATAGAGATCTCCAAGCACAATCTCACGAACACTAAAATCCAACATGAAGAAGAAGAAGAAACAAAAAGGTATCGCGATATCCCAACTACTAAAAAAGGTAGCGCGCGGTCTCACGCACACTATTGTGCATCTGAAGAACTCTATATAAATCGTGACTGTATGTCAGGATATATGTTTGTAGATGCCAACTAAGGCTCTAGAATACTGCAAAGCTGTTTGACTTCAATAGAAAAAGATAGCTAGCAGTCTTTTCGTCACAATGATTTTGTCGATTGAAGCTGATATTGTGACGGCCTAGTTTTGAGACTAAAAGCGCTCTGAAATGAGTCAAACCCATCATGCAACACCTAGAATACGACACATGAGAATCATAATACAAGATCAATGTCAAATCAATTTCCCGGGACAGTGTAGACCATATTTGGACATGTTGCCAGTTTCTGACTTGGACCAAAACCCATCAGGACCAGCATTCGTCAAATCCGTACCATGATACTATATGTATCGCATGAAAATGTATACACAGACCAATATATCATTCTGAAATAAAATTTAAATCAGTAAGAATGGTCGAACCTCACCATAGGGGGATGTATTCAGGTATTTCGATAGTTTTAAATTTACTTGGAAAACATTTCAAACTTTAAAAAACCCGTTGAATCATCGCTGAGGTATGGCAGTTTGAATAAGGAGTATTCTTCTTCGCATTTCAAGCTTATTGCTATCGCATATTAGCAAATTGCGTGCTCTCAACTTAGTGTTCTAGATGCACTTTCACAGTTATTAATTGAGAGTTTTCGATGCCTGTACCATTTTTGCATTGATATAATTGTGTGGCAGGTTCAATCATATCACACATGTGTGGAACTTCAAAGAAAATGCCTTTTAAAAAGTGAAACTTTTTCAATCATTTCACTGTTATAACTGGCATAATCCGGACATCATTCTGTCAAATTGACACAATAACAAAAAAGTCTCTCATCAGGATTCATCGATGAACGTGGGTGTCTTAGAGGAATCTAGAAAGAGAGAAGGGTTAGTAATTTCCATTGAATTCCACTACCTTGTTTGCTTATCCTTGACAGACACGCGTATTTCGTCTACAATGGGCAGACTTCTTCGGTGTCTTGTACCGTTCCGATTCAAATTTCGGACGATTCAAATTTCGGACACTTTCATTTTTAATTAAATATTACATCCAGTTAGAAACAAAGTAATAATGTTAGATGATCGTGGAGGGCACTAGTCAAAAAAATTTAAAATTTACAAGACATGTGGATCATATTCGACCGAGATAATCAACTTTTAAAAGTGTCCGAAATTCGAGTTTAAGTGTCCGAAATTTGAATCGGCACGGTACTAGTAGTAGTCTTATCTGATTTTATATATTTTCTCTCCTCTGGTACTCGCCTCATTTTTTAAACTACGCTTCGTAAGCATTTCTGGTTTACCG